TCCCTTCCTTCCTCCAGCTCCTGAGAGAGGATCCCCCGGAGCCCAGCCTAAACGCAAACAGCTTAGAACGGGAATTCTGGGGACTGCAGTTCAGCCTTGACAAGTTGATCCGTCAAAAGCCATCAGATCTATAAACGCCCCCTTGCCCCCCATAAGCTAAATTTGGGTTGGGTTTCTATCACTCGGGGTGAAAAGGCTCCTGACTCAGTTGCCATTTATTGAGCGCCTTACGCATGATATTTCACTTAATCCTTCCTCACACATACATTAATGAGATAGATATTATTTACAATTTTGGAGACTGAGGCTCAGAGAGGTTAAGAAATTATTCAAAGACACAGAGCTCTAAGCAAAGTCTGTCTTCCTACTGACAATGCTACAATGCCAGTCTGCCAACAGGAGGCAGCCCTGCTGCTGTATGAATTACTTGCACAGTTTGGAAGCCGACTTTAGCAAAATTATTACTATATTTTCAGCTAAAAGAGGTCCAACGCTGAGGCACTTTATTCAGCTGATGACAGAACAAGGCCAGGAAACAGATTTTGTCTTTATGGCCCGATGCCTGGCCTCGATGCATGATTTGGCTGTTGTAATCCAACGGTTTGATCTGTTTCCCTGTCATGTTTGTGTCTGATTTTGAGGGGGATTATTTTTTAAGGTTTTAACTTTTATTTGGAGGCTTCCTCCTACCTGAAATAGCTTAGATCTTAAACCCTTTTCAACATCAGCCATGATCACAACGCCAGATGGGTGTGGTATGAACTCCTAGGGAGAGGATCAGGAAGAGAGAGGGAAAGCCCAGATGAACACTGTCAGGACTGAAAGAGGAGACACCATCACAGATTTTACGGGAATTAAAATGATGATCAGAGTATATTATGAATAATTATATGATTCAACAACTTCGATGAAATGGACAAATGCCTTAGAAATGGACAAGTGGGTGGGATTTTTGAGCTGGGACTCCAGTGAGCTAACCTCTTCAGTGCCAAATCCATCGGGCACTTTTGGGTCTTACTCGGCTCCCCTGTGGCCTTGGACTCTGCTGTCTGCCCCTCCCTAACGTCTTCCTCTTCTGGCTCCCATGAAACTCTTAGTGTGTCTCCTTTCAAACCTCCTTCTCTCCCCTCCCCTGTGCGGAATTCACAGGGCCCTCCAGTGCGCCTCCTGGGCCCTTTCTTTAGTCCACCATTGTATACGGGGTTTTCGCTACCATTTGTGTGCTGATGGCTCCCAAATCTGCAGCCCAGGTTGCTTTGCTAAGCTCCAGACAGGCGAACTATCCCAACTTTTGTCCAGACAATCATCCATGCTGGTCAACAAGTGCCTGCCACCCCTGAGTGCCCTCAGACCCTCACACTCAACTTCTCCTCTTCGCTAATAACATCCAGTTTGCATTGGGGAACTACCCCTCCCCCAGTCTCAATCCCTGTACGTCCCCTCTCGTGGGACCCAACTTTGCCCTCTCTAGTCCCTCCTCCACACTGTTGACGGATGGTTTACTCCCCAAACCATATCGCATTATGGTGAGTTTAAAGCCGGGGTTCAAATTCTTTGACATTGTACCACTGAGAGATGGGGTGTCCTCCCCTTGAATCTAAGCAGCTTTGTGACTGCTTCAACCAGTAGAGGTCATAGAGTGACACTGTGTGACTGCTGAGGTTAGCGTCCACGGGTCCTGCAAGGCCCCTCTGAAGACTGTCCTCTCAGAAACCAGCACCATGTTGTGAAAAGTCCAGGTCATGTGCAGAGAGCCACGTGCAGAGAGCCACGTGCAGAGAGCCATGTGCAGAGGCCACAGGAAGAGACCACAGGAAGAGGCCACATGCAGAGAGCCACGTACAGAGGCCACGGGCAGGTGCTCCAGCCAACAGTCCCAGTGGAGTCAGCTTTCAAGTTATCCCAGTCCAGGCACCAGCCCCGAGAATCACTTCGGAAGTGAGTGCTCTGTCCCAGCTGTTCCAGCTGCCTCCTCTGAGTCTTCGCAGCTGAGCCTCCAGACATAATGGCCAGCTGCGCAGGCCATTTTCCAGGCCCACGAAACTTGTGATCATGACAAAATGGTTGGGCCACACCAATGAATGTTGGGTCATGTTTTACATCGTCCAGAACAGTAACTGGGACACTTACGCCGCACACCTGCTTCAGATGTCCCAGTGACTCCACATCGCCACCAGGACCAAGTCCCAATTCCTGTGCCCTTCATTCCGAGGTTCCGGCCCATCTCCTGCCCCGCCCATATGAGCTTGGTCCAGCCACACTGCAATTCCTGGGATGTTCCTACCCTTCTAGGCCTCCATGCCTTTCTTTGTACATGCTGGTGCTCTGCCTCGACCTCCTTCTGACCCCCAGTAATTAAGTGAATCATCTGGGAAATTGGGGGATGTGAATCCGTTTCCTCCTCTGAAACCCTTTCTTCCAGGAACAATCGAGTTTGCGTGGCTCTAAAACAGTCCAGGTTCTCTGTGGAAGAATATTTTAAAATTTAAGGATATATTCTAGGTCTCTGCGCAGTTATGTGGATCTGGGCCAGATTGTCTGCATTCAGATCCCAGCTCTATCACTTACTAGTGGGTGACCTTGTGCAAGTTCCTTAACTTCTCTGGGCTCCATTTTCCCCATCTGTGAAATGGGTAACATATAATACTTCATAGAGTTGTGGTCAGGATTAAATGAGTTAAAATGTGTAAAGTGCTTAGAATGGTGTCTGCAGGGAGTGCTTGGATAAAGAAGTGTTTGTTTAAAAGAAAATAAATCTCAATTATTAAAAAAATTAATATCCAACCAGAGAGAGAATTAAGGAGAGAGGCAAAGGATCATGTAAACACATAATTGCTTAAATCTGTGTGGCACACTCTCCTATATAATATCCTATATAATAAAAGGCTAATATGCAAATTGACCAAAGGGTGGAACGACCGGTCGCTATGACATGGACTGACCACCAGGGGGCAGACGCTCAATGCAGGAGCTGCCCCCTGGTGGTCAGTGCACTCCCACAGCGGGAGCGCCGCTCAGCCAGAAGCCTGCTCACAGCTGGTGAGTGCAGTGGTGGTGGCAGGAGCCTCTCCCGCCTCCGAGGCAGTGCTAAGGAGCAGCGAGCAGGTGGGCGGTAAGGAGTGAGGGCTCCCGACTGTGAGAGGGATGTCTGACTGTCAGCTGAGGCCCACTCCCCGTGGAAATCCAGGTGGAAATGCCCTGAGGGGTCCTGGACTGCGAGAGGGTGCAGGCCAGGCTGAAGAATCCTTCCCCTACCCCCCCCCCCCCGCCCCCAGTGCACACATTTCATGCACCAGGCCTCTAGTCTTTAATAAAAGTAGCTTGGTCTTAAAAAATAAAGTAAGTCTCCAGCAAGTAGCTAACTCTGGTCAGCGCTCGTGTCTCATTCAGTATCACCTTCTTTGGGAGGCCAACCACTGGAGCTGGCTTCAGATAGGCTCCTGGTTCCTCAGCACCTCAGCTCCCGCAGTTGCACGGGCCACTGTCTATCACCCGATCCTTGGGGTGTTAATGCCCCTCCCCTATGACAACCTCCACAGCAGAGAGAGGCTTTTCTGGCCCCCACAGATAAGTCATCCGAGGCCTTCGATAAATGTCTATTAAACTGAGGCTTGCTTTGATTTCATAATCCCAGTAACTCCAGCCCAGAAAGGGCTAGACGAGTTCCCCTGACACAGGAAATTAGTGGCTGAATAGAGACTGAAGCGTTTAGTCTTGTTCTCCGCTGACTGCCAGGCTTAAGCTGGTTACTGTGTGTGTGTGTGTGTGTGTGTGTGTCCACCAGTGTCACCCCTAGCCCCTGCTGGCCGACTGCTTTTAACATTATTTTAATCAGATAGCAGTAGAATAACCCAGGTCTTTGGGCGCCTCCCTCTGAGCCCTGCCCTGTGTTACTCCGGGAGGAAGAGGGTTCCTGGGAAGTGGATTTGCTTCCTTCCAGTTCTCCCCACGATGTGCTGAACTTCTGGAAACTTCTCATGCATTGAACCCCGAAGGCAAGAAGCGTTGCTTTCATCCTGAAAGTTCCCTTTTTCCAGGTGTGGCGGTGAGGGCGGCGTGACTCAGAAAATGTAATTCCAAGCACAGACGGCCTGTTCCTCCTGCTTCTACCCACTGCCGCATCGCCAACGCCAGACGGCGCTGTGTGCTCGCTGGCTTTCTAACCACCCCGTCGAGCACACACAGGCCTGCTTTTCCTCCAGGGCAGTTCCGGGGATGGTACCCAGCACCCCCACCCCCGCAAGCGCATTTCTTTCCGCTTTTTGCGTGTGTATTTGTGTGTGTGTGGGGAGAGGGTCCCCCCTTTTTTTATAATCCTCACCCGAGGACATGCTTAGAGGGAGAGAGAAGGGAGAGAGAGAGAGACAGACAGAGACAGGGAGTTAGAGAAACAGACCGGTGGCCTTCCCTACGCTCCCATTCCAGGTCCAACCCGCCACCCAGGAATTTGCCTTCACTGGGAGGCGAACAGCAACCCTGGGGCGCACGGAGGGCGCTCAACCAGCTGAGCCGGGCGGGCAGAGGGCGCGCCGAATCCGCCTGCCGAGAGCGGCCTCCTGCTGCGCACTCCACCTCGGAGCCTAAGGTCGCCTTTTCTCCGGGAGACAAATCCGTGCAATCAGAATGACCTGAAGGCCTACTAGGCACCAGGCTCCCTGGGTTCCTCGCCTCCGTCTCCCTAACGTGCAAGGCCGCCTCCTCCAGATCCAAGGACTCCCGCTCCGGCTTCCCCGGCCCCGCCCGCCGAGAACACGCGGCCGGTGCTCAGCGTCCCCGCGGAGGGTCCCGCCGAGCCCCTGTCTGGGGCGGGCGAGGTCTGTCCGTCCTCCCGTCCTGGACACCAGCCCCTCCGCGCGGCTCCACCACTTCTTCCCTTCGCCCCGATCTGCAGGTGGCGGTTTGGGGGCGTGGGGAGGGGGCGGGGAGGAGGGCGGGGAAGGGGCCGGCGGGGTGGGGCGTCGGAGCGCTGTCACCGAGTCACGCCGCCCTGCCCGCCCGCGGCCGGGGAGCGGGAGCTCGCGGAGCGCAGAGGCCGGCGCGTGCGGGAGCGGCGTGCGGGTCCTGCCAGCCGCGGGCGCCGGAGCCGCTGGCCGCCGGAGCTCGGCGCGGAGCCGCCCTCGGAGCCGGCGCCCCAGCCCCCCGAGCGCCCGCCATGGAGCCTTCGCACAAAGACGCCGAGACGGCGGCGGCGGCGGCGGACCCCCGGGCGGCCGCGGCCAGCGGGGTGGTGGTGCAGGTCCGCGAGAAGAAGGGCCCGCTGCGCGCGGCCATCCCCTACATGCCCTTCCCGGTGGCCGTCATCTGCCTCTTCCTCAACACCTTCGTGCCGGGGCTGGGTAAGGCGGGGCGCGGGGGGGGCGGGGGGGGGCGCGGGGGGGGCGGGAGGGGCCGGTGCGCCCCCGGCCGGTGGCGGCGGCGCTTGGAGAGGCGCCTGGAGGGCGCGGCGCCCCGGCCCGCCTCTCACCTTCTCCCGCCCGTGAACGAGGTTGTCCGGCCCGAAGAGCCGCAAACTTTGGCGGGATGTTGGAGCCCGCGGGCGGCGCCCCGACCCCCCTCCCTCCAGGCGCCCCGAAACCCTGCCCCTGCTCTCGCCGCGCAGCCCTTTCTCCGAGGGGCCTGGGACCGGCCGGAGGAGCGCCGGCGGTCACGCGTGGCGGCGCCCACGTCCCGGGAGTCCGGGGAGTCGGAGGAGCCGGGAGAAGGCGGCCGCGGGCTCAGGAGGGGGCGGCCGTGGGGGGGGGGCGCTCGTGACCAGACACCCCCTCACCTGCCTTCGGAGACGCGATTCCGCCAGCAGCCCCACGGGGCGCCGAGGGGACGGGGTGGTTAGTTCGGATACCTGTGGGGTTGTGTGTTTTTAAAGATTTCTAAAACTTGATTTTGAGACAGAAAGGGAGGGGGAGAGGGAAACATGGGCTGCTTCCTGCACGCCCCCCAGATGCTGAGCCCCCCACCGGCAACCGGGCATGTGCCCGGACCTCGGACCTGGAACCAAACCCCAGCCCTCCAGGTGCGCAGGACGGGCCCAACCCACTGTACCACACCGGCCGGGCGGGCACCTGTGGGACGGGGTCCCGCGTGGCGGGAGGTGACCCCAGCTCCCTCCACCTGTTCCCCTGAACGTGGAGAGCGCGCCCGTGCAGTTCTGTGTTGCAGCCTGGCGTCTGGAGGGACCCTGGTGCCCCCACACCTCCCCCGCACCCCGCACCCCGCCCCGCTTTCCAAATTTTAAAACCGTCGCAGGGACAGGGGTGCAGCGGGTGCGTCCGGGAGGGGAGAGCGTTCCCCAGCACCCCTCTTTACTCCCTTCTCCGTCTGCACGCCCCCCCCCCCCCCAGCTGGCCTGCTGGGCGCCCGCTGTCCCTCCTGCAAGGGGCGCCCTCCCCACTCCCGCGCGGGACCGAGGGCACCGCTCCGCCCGCGTCAGGGCAGCCCACCCTGGCCGCCAGCCCGGTGCCCGCGTGCGGCTCCCGGGAACCGAGAACCGAGGTCCGTTCAGCTCAGGTGTGTTCTGTTCCGCTCGGCCTTCCCCGCGGCCTCGCTCTTGGCGGCTTAGCGGGGCCTCGGCGCCGGGCGAGGGTCGCAGCCACCCGCGCAGGACGGGCCGCTTCCCCCGCGGGTCCCTCCGCCCGCGGCCCGGGCCGGGCAGCACCTCCGCGGGAGCAGGTGAGGCGGCCGGAGGTCCCAGCGGCGCCCCCTCCCGTGCCTCCCCCGCCGCCGGCGCGGGCTGCGGGCTGCGTTTGGGGGGCTCGTGCCGGCGGGGCTGCGGGCTGCGTTTGGGGGGCTCGTGCCGGCGCGGGCTGCGGGCTGCGTTTGGGGGGCTCGTGCCGGCGCGGGCTGCGGGCTGCGTTTGGGGGGCTCGTGCCGGCGCGGGGCTGGGGTCCGCGGGCGCAGGAACCACCCGCGGGAGTGCGAGCACCGCCGCCTCCCTGCCGCGTGACCATCACCGGCCGGACTGCCCCCGGGTCCACTCAGTGTTTTTAAAAAGTGAGGTCAGTGCCACCCGCGGGTCCCTGGAGGAAACAAAGGATCTGGCGCCGGGCGGGGGCGCCGCACCAGGCCCTGCGGAGCGAGGGGCCCGCAGCTGCCACCTGTGCCCGCCCGGCCTCACCTCCTGGGCCCCTTGGCTGCCACCCCCGTTAGGGACCCAGTGTCCCCTCTATGCACTTCCCTTTGTTAGGCAGAGTCCTGTGGGATTCTTGTAAGAAACCTGAGAAAGCAAGGGAACTGCAAAGCAGTGGAACAGGTGAGTCCCGGGCGCAGATTCCCGAATTTTCAGTGCGCGAATCCCGCGTGTTTCCTTTAGTCCCTGTGGAGCTGACGGTGCACAGCCCCTGTCCCCCCACCCCGCCCCCCACCGGGAGGGGTGGCGATCCTGGCAGGGTCTCATCTGCGAATCAGAGGTGCGTCTCCGGGTTGCGGGGAGGGCGGCGTGAGGTTACCTAGGGCGCAGCGGGCTGGCGCATGGGGAGGGCCCTGGAGGTGGTGGCCGCTCCTGCTCTGGGCCCTGCTGCAGAGCTGACTCCGGCTCCATCTCGGGGTGTGTGTGTGTGTGTGGGGGGGTGCCTTTCCGGACCTTTCTTCTGAGCACTGGATCTCTCTGCTCCCCTCCACCTGTGACACACCAGCCCAGGCAAATGCAGGCGCCTGCCTCCCCGCCACTTCCCCGGGTCTTCCTGGCCCATCTGAAGCTCCGGTGAAAACAGAACGTTCATGTCGGGCTCTTCTCTTTGCGGAAATGCAGCTCATTTCAATCCGTTCACGCATTCATCCCCCGGGCACTGGGGATGTGATGGCGAACAAACCAGCCAAGATAGCATAGATCATCGGCGCAGCTGATGTGAACTGTGTTTAAACTCGATGAGCGCCCCATGGCAGAGCAGCAGTGTATTGCCGCTCCCCGTGGGAGCAGCATTAGAGTGAGGAGACCCATCACCGCCCAGGCTCTCCCACCCTCACTGTGGGCCCGCTCTCTGAGAACTGGGCAGACCCTTGGCCCAAAGGCCTTCTTCTTCCTGGAAGTTTCCTTCCCTCCAGTCCTCTCCTCATTTGCAAGTCAGACAAGAGTGCAAGTGTTGGGGTGAATGAAGGCGCGTGTTCTCTCTGACGTAGGCGTCGTAGGTCCATGGAGGACCTACCTGCCTTGGAGAGGCACAGTCTTCACAGTTCCCCGGGTGACTTCTTCTTCATTATTTTTTTATTTTTAAAATACATATTTTATTGATTTCAGAGAGGAAGGGAGAGGGAGAGAGAGATAGAAACATCAGTGATGAGAGAGAATCATTGACCAGTTGCCTCCTGCACACCCCCTAATGGGGATGGAGCCGACAACCAGGGCATGTGCCCTGACCAGGAATCAAACCATAGGTGGATGCTCAGCCACTGAGCCACACAGGCTGGGCCCCTGGTGACTTCTTGACCCAAGCAGTGGTGCTGTTGGGATAACACTCCGGCCAATAAGAGGGATGTTTCCTCTCCCGGGGAGTGGACGGGGAGCAGAAGTGATTTATGGTCTTTCTGACTCCTCATTGGAACAATAAAACAAATTTAAAATATGGATGATGAAGCCTGGCCAGGTGGTTCAGTTGGTTGGACCGTCATCCCGTACACCAAAAAGTTGCAGGTTCTATTCCCGGGCAGGGCACATACCTAGGTTGCGGGTTCGATCCCTGGCTGGGGCGTGTGAGGGAGGCAACCAATCAGTGTTTTTCTCTCTCTCTCTTTCTCTTCCTTTTCCTCAATCTCTAAAATTCAGTGGAAACATATCCTCTGTTAAGGATTTTAAAAAAAAAGGATGGTAAAGAGAATGACCCAGTCTTATTCAGTGACACTACACTAATAAAGACCAGTGCCTGTACCTGCATAGTCCAGCAAGTAGAGCAGTTATAAGGATATATGCAATCCTCATACATGTAGGGAAGTTCATTGTTATGGCCCTAAATAGCCAGAGAGTGTGTCTATTGGTCAGGGGTAAAATTACACTTTCATATTTTACAATTATATCTTGATTGACTTGTTGAAGTGAAAATGTTGGTAACTCCGATAGTGGGAGGGCAAGTGGGACAGAAGGGAGCTTCCATTGACTGTCAGCCCTTCTGTCAGACTAATGTTGGCCATTAGTCTACTGCTGAATATTCATAAATACTCAAATCTACCCCGAACATATTGCCTACTCTCTGAACTCAACTGAAGTCTTGCTTCCCCTGTAAGAGCATCACTGGCTGGTTCACTCTAGCTTCTCTCTGGGCCTAAGGCTCTAACTGATATTTATTAGGTTCTACCTGAGGCATCGTTTCCATTGTTGACTTTTTATTACTCTTTCAGGAGTTTATTCTTTGTCTATATGTAAGTTCCTTGAGAGCAGCAACCATTTTAATTCTCCTTGATATAGCATGTTTTGTGTGAATATTTATTAACTAGAATTATACTCCAGGAATAGATATTAGCTTAATTTTTTAAAAAAAATATATATTTTATTGATTTTTTACAGAGAGGAAAAGAGAGGGATAGAGAGTTAGAAACATCGCTGAGAGAGATGCATCACTCAGCTGCCTCCTGCACACCTCCTACTGGGGATGTGCCCACAACCAAGGTACATGCCCTTGACCGGAATCGAATCTGGGACCTTTCAGTCCGCAGGCCGAGGCTCTATCCATTGAGCCAAACCGGTTAGGGCGATATTAGCTTAATTTTATAGAAGCGAGGCAGGCCAGCACCTGGAAGTTTATATCCTACTCAGCCTTTTTTTGTTTGTTTTGTTAATCCGCATGAGGATATTTCTCCTTTGCTTTTTTAGAGAGAGGGAAAGGGAGGAGGAGAGACAGAGAGAGAGAAACATCAGTCTGAGAGAGACACATCGACTGGTTGCCTTTCACGTGGGCCTTGACCGGGGATGGGGAGTGAACCCGCCACCCAGGTACCCGCCCTTGATTGGGAGTCCAAACAGAGACCCTTCGGTGTGTAGGCCGACGCCCTAACCACTGGGCCACACCAGCCAGGGCTCAGCCTTTTAAAGGCAGTTATTTGAGGATATATTTTAGGAAACAACAGTGTCAACCAAGAAGAAAGATAAGAGATTCAGGAATAATGTATCTAATTCATGGCAGCCATGAAAGGCAACCTCAGGATGAAATTGTCCCCAGGTCTGGCGAGCAGTCTGTCTTATTAGAGTAGGAGGATGGAGGCACCAGGAAAGTGGTCTCAGGATGGGGGTGAGGGGTGGGGGGACCTTCCACAGAGTAGAATATATGTAAGTTATTCTTACATATATAATAAGGGGATACTGCCAGGAATTAATGTGGTGATAGAACACACACAGCAGGAAGTAAGAAAGGAA